ACTTAAGCCAAAAAATCAATGCATAAATGTTCGCAAATATGAGACTGGGATTTATTTCTCGAAAAGTTAGCAATAAAATACGCTTTCTAGTTCTTTATTTTTAAAATTAAGACCAGGGATTCTGTCTAACGAAGCTGCAAGCTAAAACACCGTTATCCTATAATGTTCATCTGTAGCTTGACCCTAAATACTCGTTTATTAAACGAATTTATTGTTAGAGTTCATTAGGAATCAACTTTGTTGACGGCAGAGTTTCCAACAAATACCTTCCTGTGATTGGCTGTTGCGGGGAATGCCAACGCGTATATGAATAAAATTCAAAATAAGAAATACGTCCTTTTGCTCAATAACCTTGTTGTTGTACAAAAGATCAACAATTTTTGCTATACAAGACAGAAATTTCCATCTAAGTGAATAATGTAGACCAATAAGAGGGCGGAGGCATTGTATCGCCGATATTATTTGTGTGAGGCAACACCCACTGATGACGTCACAAGTCAGGTAGCCAGCCCTTGTTTCTGTAACACTCGTTACATCCTGCAGTATTTAATTATCACTTTATTAATACTTTTAAATACTTAACATTTCACTTTTTAAGTAGATAAAAGTCGAAGCAGAATGTCATAAGCAAGGATGGTGTGCGGAATAAAGATGATTTATTAAGTGATGGAGCCTTTAGCTGATCCCTTCCTGTGATTGGCTGTTGTGTGAATGTCAACAAAGAGTCTCTACCAATGATATGCCATTTATTATGCACCCCGTACTATCTGTGGGCGGAGCTTGGAACCTCCTACCCGAGCACAACAACCCGCCTTATGGGTTGCTGTTTGGCTATTTGTAGTGCGTTGGAAAAAAACTAGATGGCGTTAGTGGTATTTTGTGGGGTAATTTGTTATAAGTGTAATTTGATGTCAACAGATGGCGTAAGCTGTATCTTATGGCCACTGTTGACCAGCCAGTTGATAGTGTTCTCTTCTGCCGACAGATGGCATCAGCTGTGTTATTATTACTTCCGAATTCCCTTTAAACACTGATCTACAAATCCCTTGGCTTATGATAAGGTTTTATACCATTTATGATAAGTATTAGATAACTGGAGTTCTGCAATTACTTTTATTTATCAACTGTTGAGGTTATCATCATATAATGTCTGGTTAGGACGTACTGCTCTCGATTGATGAAGATTAAGCCACCCAAGAGGTAGCACGGGCATGAATAGCCCGTAAATACTGCTCTCGTAATATTATTCAGGGGGTGGGGGAACTATCAAGTGAAAGCGCCAAGCCATTACGACTATATAGCACTCGGAAGGGATCAGGATACGGATTTGGGATGGAACGGGGTAAAGGAATGGTGCCCAACCTCTTGGGCGGTCGGAGATTGAACACGGACCTGTAGTAAACGAGACCGTCGCTCTACCGTCCAGCCCAAGTGGTTAAGCATAATATTATTAAAACAACAATTTATGCATATAATAACAGCATTTCACACTAAAAATACTTGGATATATCGAAATTTGGCAGTGAATTCCAATCTAGGAATCTCCTCTGACTAAACTGTACTTTTTAATTATTTTTATGTACTTACTACTATTATTAAATTATTAAGTACTTACTATAATAATTAAATAAATTATTTTATTTAATGTTGAAATTAAATGATAAAATAATAGGTAATAATAAATCATTGTGTAGGGGGACAGGCAGCCAGTGTATATATACATGTTAGGCTTATACCAAGGTCCCACAAAGGTGCCAAATTAAAGATTGGGTGCTGCTGGCGGCCCTGGCCAGGCTGAACTTCCGCGCCCTTATATTCACCATTGTTTAATAATCTTCACAGGGAGAAACAAATTAAGTGCTTAATTGCACACTAGTTTCTTTATCAGCTATATCACCCTGTCAGAGTATATGAGACAGATGTATGTGAATGCATGTGTGTGTATAGATGTATGGGTATAAAGTATATATGGAAGCTGATCAGAATTACATTTCACCTTTGTGAATGTACATTAATGACACTATGTAAAAGACACATCAAACACTTTATGTAGGGCATACGTAAATCTGTGTATCTATGTATTTACGTATGTAGGTTAGCTTAGCATTTTAAAAGCACCGAATCACCTTCTGTGGTCGAGTGTTCAATAAACCCTTGAACTCTATGTTTAACACTTCTCTAACCCTGTCCATGGAGGACAGAAGAAAATGTATATATGCTGATTAGCATTGTAAATGTGTGGCCACGTCTGTGGTAGAAAATAATAATAAAAAAAAAAAAAGTTACACAACTGGTCGGGGTCCGCTTACACAACTGGTAGGGGTCCGCTTACACAACTGGTCGGGGTCCGCTTACACAACTGGTCGGAGTTCGGGGTGCATAATAAACCAGCGTTCACTGGTTAAATAGGGGATGCTTAATGAACTATCCACCTCTGGCGGCAAAAAATCAATATATATATATATATATATATATATATATATATATATATATATATATATATATATATATATATATATATATATATATATATGTCGTACCTAGTAGCCAGAATGCACTTCTCGGCCTACTATGCATGGCCCGATTTGCCTAATAAGCCAAGTTTTCATGAATTAATATATTTTCTCTAATTTTTTTCTTATGAAATGATAAAGCTATCCATTTCATTATGTATGAGGTCAATTTTTTTTTATTGGAGTTAAAATTAACGTAGATATATGACCGAACCTAACCAACCCTACCTAACCTAACCTAACCTATCTTTATAGGTTAGGTTGGGTTAGGTAGCCGAAAAAGTTAGGTTAGGTTAGGTTAGGTAGGTTAGGTAGTCGAAAAACGATTAATTCATGAAAACTTGGCTTATTAGGCAAATTGAGCCTTGCATAGTAGGCTGAGAAGTGCGTTCTGGCTACTAGGTACGACATATATATATATATATATATATATATATATATATATATATATATATATATATATATATATATATATATATATATATATATATATATATATATGTCGTACCTAGTAGCCAGAACGCACTTCTCAGCCTACTACGCAAGGCCCGATTTGCCTAATAAGCCAAGTTTTCATGAATTAATTGTTTTTCGACTACCTAACCTACCTAACCTAACCTAACCTAACCTAACTTTTTCGGCCACCTAACCTAACCTAACCTATTAGGATAGGTTAGGTTAGGTTAGGTAGGGTTGGTTGGGTTCGGTCATATATCTACGTTAATTTTAACTCCAATAAAAAAAATTGACCTCATACATAATGAAATGGGTAGCTTTATCATTCCATAAGAAAAAAATTAGAGAAAATATATTAATTTATGAAAACTTGGCTTATCAGGCAAATCGGGCCTTGCATAGTAGGCTGAGAAGTGCGTTCTGGCTACTAGGTACGACATATATATATATATATATATATATATATATATATATATATATATATGTCGTACCTAATAGCCAGAACGCACTTCTATGCCTACTATTCAAGGCCCGATTTGCCTAATAAGCCAAGTTTTCATAAATTAATATATTTTCTCTAATTTTTTTCTTATGAAATGATAAAGCTACCCATTTTATTATGTATGAGGTCAATTTTTTTTTATTGGAGTTAAAAATAACGTAGATATATGACCGAACCTAACCAACCCTACCTAACCTAACCTAACCTATCTTTATAGGTTAGGTTAGGTTAGGTAGCCGAAAAAGTTAGGTTAGGTTAGGTTAGGTAGGTTAGGTAGTCGAAAAACAATTAATTCATGAAAACTTGGCTTATTAGGCAAATCGGGCCTTGAATAGTAGGCATAGAAGTGCGTTCTGGCTATTAGGTACGACATATATATATATATATATATATATATATATATGTCGTACCTAGTAGCCAGAACGCACTTCTCAGCCTACTATGCAAAGCCCGATTTGCCTAGTAAGCCAAGTTTTCATGAATTAATTATTTTTCGACTACCTAACCTACCTAACCTAACCTAACCTAACTTTTTCGGCTACCTAACCTAACCTAACCTATAAAGATAGGTTAGGTTAGGTTAGGTAGGGTTGGTTAGGTTTGGTCATATATCTACGTTAATTTTAACTCCAATAAAAAAAAATTGACCGCATACATAATGAAATGGGTAGCTTTATCATTTCATAAGAAAAAAATTAGAGAAAATATATTAATTCAGGAAAACTTGGCTTATTAGGCAAATCGGGCCTTGCATAGTAGGCTGAGAAGTGCGTTCTGGCTATTAGGTACGACATATATATATATATATATATATATATATATATATATATATATATATATATATATATATATATATATGTGTGTGTGTGTCGTACCTAGTAGCCAGAACGCACTTCTCAGCCTACTATGCAAGGCCCGATTTGCCTAATAGGCCAAGTTTTCAGGAACTAATGCTTTTTCGAATACCTAACCTACCTAACCTAACCTAACATTTTTGGCTACCTAACCTATAAAGATAGGTTAGGTTAGGTTAGGTTAGGTAGGGTTGGTTAGGTTCGGTCATATATCTACGTTAATTTTAACTCAAATAAAAAAAATTGACCTCATACATAATGAAATGGGTAGCTTTATCATTTCATAAGAAAAAAAAGAGAAAATATAGTAATTCATGAAAACTTGGCTTATTAGGCAAATCGGGCCTTGCATAGTAGGCTGAGAAGTGCGTTCTGGCTACTAGGTACGACATATATATATATATATATATATATATATATATATATATATATATATATATATATATAATGTGTGTGTATGTGCAGAAATAATATTAATAAAACAATTAACATCGTGTAGTGTACTCTATATATCAAAATATATTACTTTGAAACCCGTATCATCCACTAAAAGAATGGGCTACTTTTATTACAAATTCGCTACTTTTAGAGCGCCAGCTCGCTACTTTTAGAGCGCCAGCTCGCTACTTTCAGCAATTTAGAGCTGGCAACCCTGACGTGCTGTGTGTCAGTCTGAGGAGCAGGGAGTCGGGCGGCGGCTCCATTGTTCAGCATTTAGCCAGTGTTTATCTTCGTGGTGGAGACATTGTATCGTAACACAACCCTTCAAACAGATAGTTCAGGGCGATCCCATCACATTTGGTCATTTCCCGACACCGCGGGATGCTGTGGTGGTCATCCCGGGCGTGTTGACCTGGGGGTCGCCGCCCCCCCTCCCCGGTCAACAACACGACGGATTGTTGACTTGGGACAACAATGACAGTGGCCGCCACTCACCAGCTTTATCCGTCAGTAAACTTACGCGTCGGCTTACTATATTACAAGGTATGTTGTATTAATTAATACAAGCAGAGAATCTGAGCGGTCTTTCATTTATAAGTATTGTCAAAATTATGACACAAAATATACACCTTCCTACATAAGATTGAACACTGTAACTACAAAATATATCCCTCAAAAAAAACAGTAAAGTGTACATTTCTAATATATAATTTAACAAATTTAAAACAGTTTGGATCTGACGTTATTTAGCTAGGCTATCAACTAAGACGATATGACCTCTCTCCACACCTCATTTATTACGGTAAGGTAATCTTATAATCTCCTAGTCATAATTTACTTACGGATTCGTAAATAAATGCAGTCCATTCCATTTAGCCATTTAAAAGCTTTCATGTCAACAGCCACTATTCTGACGCCTTCAGTAATAATAACTAACATTATAAGAAGATTAATGTATTTCGCAAGGAGTTGTATATCACGTGAGGAGTTTAGCCCCTAGTTACATCTCACCAGTTCAGCCTCCTAGCTATATACAATACTTCAGTGGGGTTCAACACCCCCCCCCTCTCTCCCCGGTTATATATCACAAGGGGTTCAGCCCCCCCCCCCTCTCCCCGGAAATATATATCACAAGGGGGTTCAGACTCCGGTAGGGTCACTCATTCTACACATCTGAAAAAACATCAACTACACGACGACCAATCATTCTTCACATGATCCGGATTACAAACATCACAACAGCAAGATCTGAAGCCTAATCAACACATCAGATGAGTGCTCTGGTCCACGCCAAGGGGAAATGGGTACTTGGGAGCACCTGTTGTGGAGGACTGATTTCCTGGGAAATCAGTCGTTGTCACCTCTTGATAACGTATGCAAAAATCACTTCATAATAAAATATGCACATCACAAAATACCTAATACTAACTTATAATAAGTATACATCAAGCACTCAATAATACAGTATACACAAAAACCATAATAAAAGTATACATTAAGGGTATAAAGTATCTCATTAAGCATACATGAAGTTCTTCGTAATAAATTTAAAATTTATGCTTAAAAATTAGTAGATTTACAATAAAATAGCTTGCAGAGAGATTTATACGATGCTAAATCATTCTCCAGGCTTGATGCCTTTTATAATTACATACAATCTGTACCTTCACTAAAGCTGTGTAGATGTTTAATCTTGTTTAATCCCGGGTATACGCAGCATGTCACAGCTCCAGTATCAACCCTTGTATTGAGACGGCCAAGAATGATGGAAAACAGGAGGCCATCCAAACCTCTTCAAGGGATTGTCTCTTTGGTGTACAGACAAAGCCAAGGAGAGGCTAAATCACACTCCCTGGTTGGCTTTTAGTATTCTTGGTCACGATTCGGGCGTAGAGGGCCAACTTATCATTAAAACATTGTTCAAAAGCTCGTTAGTCCCCATGACTCGCAACTTAATGTGTTCGAGTATTTTTAGGAACAGAGCCACGCCTTCATACGATGTTCAGAGCTCTATAAATAATTAATGAATATAAATAATACAATAAATAAATTGCTTCACCCACGTAATGTAGAAACAAATATTTGTAAATAGAAGCAAAACACTTAATTTAACATATCCTAGACCAAACTATACACAAAGTATAATATATTTTTGACATTTCGGAAAATACCTTTTTGATTATATATACAGTACGAAGAAATTAACGAATGCGCCAAAATTTGGGAACGGCAACAGCTTGGATGAGCATAGCCTAGTGTCCTCATAAACATGAGCCAAATGCTTGTTAATCCAGCCACCACACTCCATATTTATGAATGAAAAACACTTTGCACGTGACTCGACTGATGACGTTCGAACTTGACTTGTATACCTCCGTTCGAATTTCACTTCTCTAATCGCACGTATTGGAAGTGCACAACCTGTCCTCAGGCTATTCTCGTCCAACTACAGACGTATTTATCACTTTTAACGTACTATGTATTAAAAATTTGTATTTTCTCATAATATAAATATTATTACATACCAGAATGTGTTGAATAGTTAGGTCTAACATGGGTTAAGTTGTTTTGGCAATTATTAGTATTTGAAGTAAGTGGGTGAAGCCTTTTGAGAGGTGCGATTGGAGGAGAGAACGTGTACGAAGACGTACTCGAGAAATGTACATACGTCATCAGTTGTGAGTAGGTGTGTAGAGCGCTTTTCATTCATGAATGAGGGTTTGGCGAGTGCATTAATGAGCATTTGGCCTTTGTTAATGAGGATAGGTTGAAATACAACAGCCATGCTCATAAAAAAAAGGCATATGATCATGCCTTGCAGCCGCCAAACTCAATGTTTATGAATGAAATCGCTTTACACACGACTAAATCTGCCTCGCTGACGACGTCTGTTCGAATTGCAACTCTTTTTAAATGCTTCACTCATTTACTACAAATACAACAACCCGTCCTTATCAACAAACGGTAAATACTCGCTTATCCAACCACCAACTCCCCTGTTTATGAATGAAAAACACTTTACACGCGAATCATAACTGATGACTTACGTATTTTTCTCGAGCAGTGTTTCGTTCACGTCCTCTGCTCGAATCGTACCTCTGAATGCTTCATTCACGTATTACAAATACCAGTAATTGCCAACAAAACTTCACCACCTAAAATATGCGTAAATATGAACAATATGTTGATATATAAATTTATAGTTAGGGAAAATCCCTATTTTGAATGAGCAGTATGTTAAAACTGATGAAAGGGTGTTTGAGGTTGGCCGGTGGATGGAATAAACATAATAGCCTGAGGATGGCTGCTGAGTACGGGTTGAAATATAAATAATTGCCACCAGAACTTAAACACCTAACATAATTTAGGTCTAACGCTGCATTAAATTCTAAAATATAATATTAAATTATATATTAGAAAATGCCTTTTTTGAATGTACAATACTTTAAACTTGATGAATACATATATATGGGGTTGGCCGCACCTTGGACGAGCATTGTCAGTGGACGGGTGCTGTGAATGCTTCATCAATGTACTGTACATACAAGTAATTGCCAACAGAACATAAACACTCTACTTAAGTTTACCGGTGAGACATTTGTAAATATAATACTATATGGGGTACCCGGCAGTGCCCGGGTCTTTGTATCACTGTCTAGCTCTGTCTGCATGTCTCTCTCCCTCTCTTCCTCCCATACTACCAATAACGTGTCGTCAAAGGTGACTATCCTTCCTCTAACCATGGTAGGAAGTGTGTGGAAGCGTCCCTGGCTTGGTTCCGTATCTTGGCTACAAGTTCAAGTATATTTGAGACAAGAAAGAACTATATCTCACAGGTATAGAGTAGCTTAGGCTATTTCTACCCCCCCCCCTGATCTTCGCCACACACACTCGGTGGCCGCTCTTGATTAAATATCCTGATTTTTTTAGGATACTCGGCAGCTTTGCTTCACAACTACCGCGTATCCTCTTACGCCAAATGTTTCGCGATATAAGAAAACAAAAGCTGTGAAGCAGACTTTAAAATGTGGACGGACTTGAGACTGTCTAGGAAATTTAGAATCTTTCCTTCACTCCCGCGGCAACGATCAAAACAATTTCTTTCCCTTGCATTGTGTTATTAACCATACTGGTAAAGTAGTGTCTGCTGGTAATTGTGTTTCTGACCTCGCCATGTAATCTAAAGTTGTGTTTCTAGTTGACCAAGGGAAGGGAACTATCAGGGGGAAAGCGTCAAGCCATTACGACAATATAGCACTAACGGGAGACATCTCCCGTCACGCAGGGTGCAGTCGCACCTCCACAGATCTCCAATATCATCTATTGATACTGGTAATGGCTCAAAAGGGCCACCACTTACGGGCTATTCGTGCCCGTGCCACCTTTTGGGTGGCTTAATCTTCATCAATCATATGGCACTAGGAAGGGGTCAGGATAAGGATTTGGGATAGAATGGAGGGGGAAGGAATGGTGCCCAACCACTTGGACGGTCTGGGATTGAACGCCGACCTGCATGAAGCGAGACCGTTGCTCTACCGTCCAGCCCAAGTGGTTGACTAAAGTTTCGTTCACTTGCTCTTATTAAACACATGTATCACATGTGAAGGGTATCACACAGTATCCAGCAGCACCACACCTCCACTTTCCATGAGTTGGTCTAGTAGTCTGTCCTCTCCACCGTTCCCTACGTCGCTAAACGGTTGTACTAAATTGCCTAACGTAACCGAGGACCAACGAATAGAAAACGGGACATAACATGAATTTTGTAAGCCGGTATGACTTTAAGTACATCAATTTTTGGTTTCAGGGGATTTATACGTCAAAATTGCGATGTACTATTTGAGAGGAAAGGGTTGTCTTGGAAACTTTCCAGGTCCTGCCCCGCACACGCCTCCAGCAGCCGCCCCTGGTGCACGATAATGGAACAGTTTCAAATGTAGATTTGATAGAGTCCAATAGCCTCAGGAATCTGTACAGCAGTTGATTGACAGATGACAGGCGGGACCAAAGAGCCGAAGCTCAACCCCCGCAATCATAACTAGGTAAGTACTAGGTAACTAGGCGACCACTGTCCTTCACCACCAATAGTCGACTATACTGCAAGTAAGCTGACTTATTTTATATTGTATTTTTAATTGTATTTGTATTTTCATTTTGTGAACCCTATCCTCGGGTGAAACGTCTGCACATCAGATCTCAAACCAGAATGCAAAAACAAGCGTAGAATTTTATATCTATAACATTATTACCTAAATATAATTCCTGACCTTGGCAAGAACGTGACTAGCAGAGCATATGATGCAAAAACTAAATACCTTTTAGTCTCTGGAGCGTGTTTGGTGGTGCAGAACGTAATGGATGCACCTTTGTCAGCCCGTCTCTTGAGCCTTTACAACCCCACTAAATTGACGTATTAAGGGCCCACAGCGATACCTGGTATCTTAAATGTGGGAAAATATGGAATGGAAACACTGTTGTTTCCATTCCATATTCCGTGGGACCATAGCACTGTGGTGGGCGTGGGACCATAGCACTGTGGTGGG